TACTACTACTACTACTACGAATGCTGCTAGTACTAGTATTTCGACGACTACTCCTACTACGACTACTACTACTACTACTACTACTACTACTGCTACTACTACCACCACTACTACTTCTACGACTACTACTACTACTACGATTACTACTCCGACGATTATTACTACTACTACGACTACGACTACTACTACTACTACTACTACTACTACTATTACTACCATATTACGACGACTACTACTACTATTACAGCTACTACCACTATTACTACTACTGCGATTATTACTACTACTACTACTACTACTACTACTACTACTACTACTACGACAACTACTACCACTACTTTCATCACGACTACTACCACGACGATTCGTAGTAGTAGTAGTAGTAGTAGTAGTAGTAGTAGTAGTAGTTGTTGTTGTAGTAATATTATTCCCAACCCTCCTTGGTTGGGTTTTCGTTTTGAATAGAGCAGTGTGGTCGCGTCCCTCCTCCCTCCTTCTCCCTCCCTTCCTCCTTTTCCCCTCCCGCCTCTTCCTGTCTTGCCCGCGGGGGGCTGCGATCGGTGAAACTGTCGCAATTTTCGATGCCTGCTGGGGGGCCCAGCACAGTGAGGGCCACGGGCAGATCCAAATTAGACCTCGCCATCCCTGGGGGGCTGCGATCTGTGAAACTGTCGCCATTTTCGAGCCCTGCTGGGGGGCCAGCACAGTGAGGGCCACGGGCGGATTCAAATTAGACCTCGCCATCCCTGGGGGGCTGCGATCTGCGAAACTGTCGCCATTTTCGAGGCCTGCTGGGGGGCCCAGCACAGTGAGGGCCACGCGCGGATTCAAATTAGACCTCGCCATCCCTGGGGGGCTGCGATCTGCGAAACTGTCGCCATTTTCGAGGCCTGCTGGGGGGCCCAGCACAGTGAGGGCCACGCGCGGATTCAAATTAGACCTCGCCATCCCTGGGGGGCTGCGATCTGCGAAACTGTCGCCATTTTCGAGGCCTGCTGGGGGGCCCAGCACAGTGAGGGCCACGCGCGGATTCAAATTAGACCTCGCCATCCCTGGGGGGCTGCGATCTGCGAAACTGTCGCCATTTTCGAGGCCTGCTGGGGGGCCCAGCACAGTGAGGGCCACGGGCGGATTCAAATTAGACCTCGCCATCCCTGGGGGGCTGCGATCTGCGAAACTGTCGCCATTTTCGAGGCCTGCTGGGGGGCCCAGCACAGTGAGGGCCACGCGCGGATTCAAATTAGACCTCGCCATCCCTGGGGGGCTGCGATCTGCGAAACTGTCGCCATTTTCGAGGCCTGCTGGGGGGCCCAGCACAGTGAGGGCCACGCGCGGATTCAAATTAGACCTCGCCATCCCTGGGGGGCTGCGATCTGCGAAACTGTCGCCATTTTCGAGGCCTGCTGGGGGGCCCAGCACAGTGAGGGCCACGCGCGATTCAAATTAGACCTCGCCATCCCTGGGGGGCTGCGATCTGCGAAACTGTCGCCATTTTCGAGGCCTGCTGGGGGGCCCAGCACAGTGAGGGCCACGCGCGGATTCAAATTAGACCTCGCCATCCCTGGGGGGCTGCGATCTGCGAAACTGCCGCCATTTTCGAGGCCTGCTGGGGGGCCCAGCACAGTGAGGGCCACGGGCAGATTCAAATGAGACCTCGCCATCCCTGCGGGGCTGCGATCTGTGAACCTGTCGCCACTTTCGAGGCCTGCTGTGATCCCCGTTTTCGAAGTGGCTAGGAGTGCTCAGGAATTGTAAATCATCAGCTTTATCAAGCCCTTTTCCTGTAGCCAGTGTCCTGCGAGTCTCCCGAATTCCGTCTGCAGACATATGTAACCCTCGCTCCGTCATCGCCCCCTTATAAAGTATCCTAAACTATTTGCGCCCCGCTTTTGCGCAGGGGTTGGGTACGTCGCCAGGGTAATGTGTTTTTTATCAACGAGTGCGCGCGCATAGCATTTGTTGTTGAGGTTGGCGGGGGGGCGATATCGGCTCGGCCTGGGATGGTACGGATTCAAACTTAGGATGGACGACGGGGCAGAATCATGTGCAAATTGCAGTTTGCAAGCGGGCGTTCCCAAGTCCAGGGGGGTGGTCGAGTATATTTTTTGAGACAGGATAAACCCGGTGTACTGGCTCAGCTGTGCAATTTTTGCTACACAAATCTACGTTGTGCAATGTACGTTGTGCAGCCATCCTTTGTGCAATCCAAGCGGGGCAACGTGTGTGGCGACGACGATGCAGCGACGGGGCAGCGACGGCAGCAACGTAGCCGCCAGACCGGCCCAGGCAGGCCCAGACGGCGGGGCGCCGACGAGGCGGCGACGGGGCGGCGACGGCGGCAACGGAGCCGCCAGACCGACATTCAGGGCCAGACGGCGGGCGGCGACGGGGCGGCTATCGCGACGGGGCGGCGACGGCGACGAGGCGGCGGGCGGCGGCGACGAGCGGGCGGCGGGCGGCGAGCGGCGACGGGGCGGCGACGAGGCGGCTATCGCGACGGGGCGGCGACGGCGACAACGGAGCCGCCAAACTGACATTCAGGCCAAATTCCACAGACCACAAGTAAGAACCCTTAAGCACGAGGACTGGTTGGGGAATCTGCGCACCGCTCTCCCTTCTCCCCCGACTCTGTGCAGAAGATGCCCCGCCCTGTCCGTGCATCTCTTTTTGCCACAGCATTGCGTGTTGATACTTATGACGCTTGCGTTTTACATTTCGGAGCGTCTTCGGTGCTTCAGAGCGGTGCTCCCGCTTCAGATTGGGCGTCATGTTGGGGGCGTGTTTCCGTCTCCTCATCTCTCTTCTTTCCTCCCTCCTCCTCCTCTTCCTCCCCCTCCCCCTCCCAATGTGTTGTAAAACGTTCCTTTTCCTCCTTTCATCTCCCTCCTCCCTACTCCATTCTCCTACCCCCCTACGCGTTCCAAAGCGTTCCTCTTACTCCTCCTTTCTCCTCCCTCGTCTTTCCTTGCCCTACTCTCCGCCTTGGACTCGGCCTCCCTGTCCAGCATCTTTCCTTTGGCCTCGCGCGTGAACATGCGTTTTTGGTCATCACTTTTATCTTCTACATCTACCACACTCCGGAAGAGGCTCCCAAGAGGCATCCTCCTCCTCCTGTTTCTGTCTGTATGTTTAGCGATCTTGGCCGCGATTCAAGATGGATCGCCCCTACGCTCCCGCAGCAGCTTGATGTAGTGAAAACTGTTCAGGCTAAACTGGCCAACGCATACTTCAACCTTGGTTACCGCCGGGAACTCGTAGAGCTTCCTTGGCATGCGAGCGCGGCAATCTCGCATTCAGCGCGCGCGAGTGTGTGTGTGTGTGTGTGTGCGGTTTCATAGAAATGTGCTCGACAGCTCCTTCGCTTGCCCACAGCTCGAGTTCAGTTGAGACAAACACACACCATCGCGAACAATTCGCGATAGTTCTCCCCCTCCCAGCCGCGGCCGCAGCCACGGCCGCAGCCGCAGCCGCGGCTAGAGAGGAACAACCACCTCGAAACATTCGCAATAGCTTCTCCCGCTCAGCCGCGGCCGCGGCTGCAGCCACAACTGCAGTTTTCGGTCGCTCTGGTAGCAAACCGATCTCAGACGTCTCGATACCTCAGAGTAGCGCTCGTGATCTTTTCCTTTTGAAAGGTGGTTCCCAGCTCCGTAGCTTGCCTACAGCTGGAATCAAGGAGAAAAAAGCAATATCGCCTCCCCCAAGAATGTGCAGAGTATAAATAGTGTTCTGGCAGGTGACCAATCTCAGGTTTCCGGATACTTTGGATTAGCGCTCCTCAGCAATTTCCGTCGACTGGTGTATATAACAGCTCCGTAGTTAGCTTACAGCTCGAATCAAGTAGAGAAAACAGACATCATCTCTCACAAAATATTAGAAAATTCGAATAGTGTTTCAGTCGCAGCTCTGGTAGCAGACAAATCTCAGACGTCTGGATACTCTAGGCCGAAGTTCCTGGCCATTTCCTGTTCAATCGTGTGTTTTCCAGCGCCGTAGCTTGCCTGCAGCTCGAATTGAGCAGAGAAACGAACGCCGCCTCTCAAAGAAATTAAGAGTTCAAATAGTTGGTTGGTCGCAGCTCTGGTAGCAGACCGATCTCAGGCGTCCGGATGCTTTAGACTGGCGCTTCTCAGCATTTTCTGTCGATTGTTGTGCATCTGAGCTCCGTAGCTAGCCTACAGCTCGATTTATAGTGCGAATAGTTTTTTTAGTGGCAGCTCTTGAAACAGACCGATCTCAGACGACTCGACACCGTCGGCGGATCTTCCTGATCATTCCCTGTTGAACGATGTGCTTCCCAGCTCCGCAGCTCGCCTCTCGAATTAAGTAGAGAAAACCAACATCGTGTCCCAAACAACTTGTAGAGTGCACGCAGCTTTTTGGTCCCAGCTCTAGTAGCAGACCGTTCTCAGGCGTCTAGATTCTTGAGACTAGCGCCCCTGATGAATTCCATTCGATTGCTGTGCCGAACAGCCCTGTAGCTCATCTAGAGCTCGAGTTAAGTTGAGAAAGCCGATAGCACCTGCCAAGATGACACTCAACACTCGATCCCGCCCCGATCTCTTTTGATATTCGTATCCACCCGATCGACCTGAGAAGCGGGAGTAATATCAAAGATGGGGGGCAACATCTTCGAACTCTAGAGAATGGTTGAGCTTCGAGACAATGATTTTCAACCGAACAAAAAAGGACAACACTTCCGTCGATATTTTTCGAGCCAATTCGCCCGCCAGCGCGTTCGAATTACTCTTAAGCTTCGCCGCTTCGCTCTTGGAGAAGCTCTACGAGTCACAGCAACCCGATTGTACAGGTGGCTGAAATCAGCAGCTCGGCGTTGAGTGCCGTGTGACATGGAACCCACCATGGTACCACCTACCTCCTCCCCCTCCCTCCTTTTTCTTCTCAAACGTTCCTCCTTTTTCTCCTTGCTCCTCCCTCCTCCATCCTCCTTTTCCCTCGCCTCCCTCGCCTCCTTCCCACTCGTCTCCCCCTCCCTCCGCAGCAGTTCCCGCCGCCAGGGTCCAGCGCGCCTGCCTCGCCGCTCTCCGCGCCCCGCCCTCTCCGGCCTCCAGTGCCCGAGGTTCGATGTCCGCCGCCGAAGGGCCCCTGCCTTCCGGCTGCCCCGCGCGCCTCGCCCGCTTCGCCCGAGACGTCGCGGGCCAGGGCCACGACAAGGCCGTCATCGCGGTGGCGGCCCTCGGCGCCGGGGGGGTTCGTCTCCGGGAGCAAGGACGGGACGGCCCGAGTGTGGGATGCGGCCACCGGCGCGGAGCTGTGCACCGCCAGGGGCCACGGCGGCTGGGTCGTCGACGTGGCGGCCCTCGGCGCCGGGGGGGAGCGCTTCGTCACCGGGAGCGGGGACGCGACGGCCCGAGCGTGGGATGCGGCCACCGGCGCGGAGCTGTGCACCGCCAGGGGCCACGGCGGCTGGGTCGTCGCGGTGGCGGCCCTCGGCGCCGGGGGGGAGCGCTTCGTCACCGGGAGCGAGGACGGCACGGCCCGAGTGTGGGATGCGGCCACCGGCGCGGAGCTGTGCACCGCCAGGGCCCACGACAAGGCCGTCATCGCGGTCGAGGCGGTGGCGGCCCTCGGCGCCGGGGGGGAGCGCTTCGTCACCGGGAGCCGCGACAAGACGGCCCGAGTGTGGGATGCGGCCACCGGCGCGGAGCTGTGCACCGCCAGGGGCCACGACGGCTGGGTCGTCGCGGTGGCGGCCCTCGGCGCCGGGGGGGAGCGCTTCGTCACCACCGGGAGCGCGGACGCGACGGCCCGAGTGTGGGATGCGGCCACCGGCGCGGAGCTGTGCACCGCCAGGGGCCACGACGGCGAGGTCGTCGCGGTGGCGGCCCTCGGCGCCGGGGGGGAGCGCTTCGTCACCGGGAGCGAGGACGGGACGGCCCGAGTGTGGGATGCGGCCACCGGCGCGGAGCTGTGCACCGCCAGGGCCCACGGCGCCAGGGTCAGGGCGGTGGCGGCCCTCGGCGCCGGGGGGGAGCGCTTCGTCTCCGGGAGCAACGACGCGACGGCCCGAGCGTGGGATGCGGCCACTGGCGCGGAGCTGTGCACCGCCAGGGGCCACGGCGACTATGTCTGTGCGGTGGCGGCCCTCGGCGCCGGGGGGGAGCGCTTCGTCACCGGGAGCGAGGACGGCACGTCCCGAGTGTGGCATGCGGCCACGGGGGTGCTGGTTATGAACGTCTCCAAGCGCGGCGCTCTGGATTTGTTTGGGTGGATGCCCATCGTCGAGGCTGCAGGTGGCCTCTCGCAAGCGGTCGCGCTGGCTTTTGACGATGCCATCAAGTGGAATCGCGAGGCCATCGCCCCGATCGCCGCTCCCCTTCAAGTAAGCCTGCTTAATTCTTGGGCTTGTGCCACACCGCCGACCCCTTGGGGATCTGGCGGTTGTTGCGTGCTGCTCCTGAGGGCCACTTGTGCCCCATTTGGGGGCTTCTTGGAGCTCTTGTGGGGCTTCATGGGGGCCTCTTGGGGGCCTTTTCGTGGCCTCTTGAGGGTGACATTATCAGCGTCCGCCGTGCTCGAATGGGGAAACGGGCGAGAACCCACGTATGCAGACGGCGTGCACCTGTCAAAGTACCCGACGAATGATTATCGAACACGCCTACGGCGAATCACCGCTGCTCCCTGCCCTTTCGGAAGCGCCTATGTGGCCGAACGCTGTGGCCAGAGGCCTGCCAAGCTATCGGACCATCTGTTCCCCGAGTCGGTGTGGAAAGGTTTCGGGGGACACGTGGAGGAGAATGAACATGAAGAGGAAGAGGAAGAGGCCTCTTGGGCCGTCTTGATCCGTCGGAATGGCGAGAAGAAACAAATGCCAACATCCTTGAAACACTCAGGGAAAATGCAGGATGTTGGTCTCTTCGGGCCCTCCTGGAGGACCTCTTGGAGCCCTCTTGGGCCGTCTTGGAGGCCTCTTGGGGGCCTCTTGGGCCGTCTTGGGCAATATTGACGCCATGTTAGGCCGTCTTGGAGGCATCTTGGGCCGTCTTGGAAGCATCTTTGGGGGCGAAGCTATCGAACCATGTGTTCCCCGAGTCGGTTTGTAAAGCCTTCGGGGAACACGTGGGGGAGGAAGAGGAAGAGGAGGAAAATGAGGAAAACGGAGAAGGGGGAGGATGCCTCTTCGGAGCCTCTTGAGGCACTCGTGGGCTCGATTGGGCCATCTTGGGACCGTCTTGGAGGCCATGTTGGTGCTATATGGGGCCCTTTTGGAGCCTCTTGATGGCCTCTTGGGCCTTCTTGGGACTTTTCGGGGGCCTCTTTGGCTGTCTTAGGGCGTTCCTGGCCCGTCTGACGCCGTCAGGAGCCGTCTTGGGGCCTCTCTGAACCAGCTTGGGGCCCTGTTGGGGCGCTTCGGGGCCCATCTTGGGCGTCTTGGAGGCCTCTTGGCCAGGTTTGGGGCCCTCTTGGGGGCCTCTTGGGGGCCTCTTGGGCCGTCATGGCTTGGAGGCCTTGTGGGCGATCTTGGGGCGATATTGGCGGCCTCTTGGGCAATTTTGAGCCGTCGGAATGCCGAGAAGAGGCACATGCCAAAATCCTTCAAAAATAAAAGGGAAATCATTGTTTCTGCTTGGACGTGAAGGAAGGGGTGCCGTTTGGCTCATCCTTTTCACATCACACATTAGCTTCTCTGGTTGGAACCATGGACAGAGTGGATCAAGAGGGCCACGCATGAAGTACAACGCCTGTTAGGACGCTTGAAAATCGACGACTGGATCATTACACGACGCTGGAGAAAGTGGAGGTGGGCAGTAAATGCCTCGGCTGATTGTCATAAGTGGGCCTGCAAAGCTTTGTTCTGGGAGCCCGACATACACGCATAAGCCCAACAACCATCCTGCAGACAAGCAAGACCAAAAAGACGATGGATCGATGATGTACGCAAGCATGTGCATATACATTTGGGCCTTACTGATGATACCAATGCCTGGACCGATTTGGCCAAAACACCCACGTGGAGTGTGTTGGAACATAGTTTTGCACATTCTAAGAATACTTGCTACCATGTGTCTCTCCATCTTGTAGTCCATTGCATGTTTGCGGGCGCTCCGGCCCCGACCCGCTTAGTCCCCTCGCGTGGACACTCGCGCGGGTACCGTACCGTGCCGTACATTAGTTTCTCTGGTCCAGAGTTGGATGGACGCGGTCGCGTTCCCTGGGGGGGCGGCCGCGGTGCCTGTCTGGGCCGAGATCTGCACGGAACCGATACAGCCGCCGCATCTTGCGTGTCCTGAGCGCAAGCGGGAAGGCCCGCAACGGTCCGCGCTGAGGATCTCCACAGCTCAGGTAGATGCCCCCGTCAGGCGTCATGATCATCCTGTCGCCCTATGTGAAGGGTGTGCAGCAGCAGCCTCTAGTGGTCAACATCGTCGTCGCTGACGCGGCAGACCACTCGCTCCCCAGGGAGCGCTCTAGTCCACCACTCCCGCCCCGCGTCGCCGCGGAGCCACTCCACGACCGCCGCCATCTCGTCGGCCGAGCACTCGCGCCACGACCCAGTGAACCAGGCCGCCCAACGCCCAGGTCTGGCCCTGGCGGGCGCGCTGGAGCCTCGCACTGCGGGCAGGCCGCGCATGGCGGCGGCTCGCAGGCCGGGCAGGCGGCACAGGCCCTCGGCCCCGGGCAAGCCGCGCACGCGGCCGCCTCTGGGCACGCCGGGCAGGCGGGGCAGGAGAGGTCGGGACAGGACGACGAGCCTTGCCACAACCCTGGAGCGACGAGCGACGCGGCCTCCAGCGCCAGAACAGCCCAGATGAGCTCGCCGACGCGCTCCAGCGAGGGCGCCAGGCGGCGCAGCAGCTGGACCCCGACCTGCTCGAGCCTCGCGAGGCGCTGACCGCCGACGGCCAGCGGGTCACCTGGCAGTAGGCGGCGGGAGATCTGACGGCAGCAGATCGGGCCGCCTTCTTGCGTCTGGGCATGGGCGTGGCGCGGATGGGCCGACGGCTGCAGGAGTCTCCAGGGGCGGGCCGAGCATGGCTGGCCGTCAGCGGCGGACCTGGCATCGCGATTGGTTCGGAGGTCGACGTGTCGAGCGCAGTGGACCTTGGCTTCGAGGGCGGGTTCGAGCGGTTCGGCGCGCTGAAGGCCGGCGACGGAAGCATGGCGCGGCTGGCCCTGCTGGATGCGGGAGCTGCCCCGGCGCGGGTGGCCGAGGAGGCAGCCGTCTGGCAAGGGCTGGAGAGCGCTCGCGCCCGGGATTCCGACCGCGGCCGCCGCCGCGGGGGAGGCCCCGGGCCGGCCGAGGAGACGCCGTTCGCCGAGGAGGTGGGCGGCAAGGCCACGCCCGAGGTGCCGCTGCCGCCGCCGGCCAGCCTGCTCGGAGATGAGCGCGACGCCGACGCCCGCGCCCTCTGGGTCGCCTACGACGAACAGGGGGAGCGGCACAAGCGTTGGAGGGACCTGGTGCGCGAGCCCAGGCGGGGGCGCCACCCTGGCGCCCAGGTGGGCGGCCCGCCAGGGGCCCTGCACATGCGCAAGAACTTCGAGAGGCACGGGCGCGACCCGCGCCTCTGGCTGGAGCTCTTCGTTCGCAAGAAGGGGCTCAGCATGAACGATCGAGTGGTGCGCGAGCTGAAAATCATCGTGGAGGCGTTCTATCAGGGCGGAATATGGGCGGTCGACGGTGGAGATGTTGACCCGACGCGTCGCGGCGATGGTAGACGCCTGCGCTGACCCGTCAAGGCCGAGCTGGATCAACGCCCGCTGCTTCGAGGGCGTCTCCTCGCATGAAGACGCCCCGGGCTCCGAGCGCAGGGGCTACGTCCATAGGCGGGCGAAGGGGCAGCCCGAGATCGAGCGGGCGCAGAACCGGGCGCGGGCGCTGCGCGGGGCTCACGCGGAGGCGGGAGAAGGAGCAGACGGAGCTGAAGGTGACGCTGATGGCGCTGGACGTGGTGGCGGCCAGGGTGGCCGCCACCTCCTGGGGGGCGTGCAGCCCCCCAGGCCTGCGGGCGCCAGCCCAGCCGCCGGGCCCTTTTTGCTTGGGCAGGACGGAGGCCGACTGCGGCTCTCGCGAGGAGCCCGCAGCTTCCTGCCGCCCCCTCTGCCGGGTGGCACGGGCCGCCGACTTCGCGGCGGGAGTGGCTGGGCCGGGCAGCTTGGGCGAGAGTCTCGGACTGTTGGCGAGGTCAACGACCTGGTCGACGCCATCTACTGGATGTCGGGCTACCAGTCTCAGCCTGGCCCCGCCAATGACAGCAGCTGGACATACTTGCGCTCTTCGAGGGCCTCGTGCGGGGCCGGCAGCCAGGCGCCAAGTTGCGCGGACCGCAGGCGGCCCTCCGGGAGCTGGCGCGGGGCCGCTCGCCCTATGACGGGCGGGGCGGCCCGACGACGGTCGCCTCCTACAGCGCAGGGCTCGCCAGCATGCCGACGGATGCGTGGAGCTGCCCGCGCCTTGAGGATCTTTTGCTCGGCGAGACCTTTTCTTTCCTGAAGGAGCGCCAAGAGCGCATGCTACGGCAGGCCCCTTTGTCGACCGACGTCGAGCTGTACTTCGACACATTCCTCCAGTTCAACCACACGGAGTGCCGCGGCCTGGTGCGTCGGCCGCTGTCTGCAGGAACGCTGCGACGGACTCTGTCACGGACAGAGAGAATTTTTCTTTTCTGCGTGGAAGGGTGGGCGGAATCGACTCCGCCTCATAGTGGGCGCCCGCTGGGTTAACCTTCACTTTCGCGATCCACCTGGCGCGGAGCTCTCGAGCAGCGAGGGCCTCGCCAAGATCGAGTTGCACCTGCCGGCCGAGGGCTTCACGAGCTACGAGGACCTTCGCGAGGCGCTGGAGGCGCAGCAGTTTTCACCAGTTTCGGCTCGACTCAGACCTCTCTCGTTATTTTTGTTTGCCTTCGGTCAAGGCAGTTTCTTTCGGCATCGCCGAGGTCGATGGCATCAAGGTGGGCGCGTCGGCGGCCATCTATCCGCGCTGGCAGGTCCTGTCCACGGGCTTCAGCTGGTCGCTGTACTTTGCCCAGCGGGCCAACGAGAAGGTCAGCCGCCGCGGCGGCCCGCTCCCAACGCAGCCGGGGCTCTCATTCCATGGCCCGCCGCTGGTCTTCGCGCCAGGCGAGGCGGCCCGGGAGGTCAGGCACCATGTCTACGTCGACAACCTGGGGGTCTTCTCGCTGTTCTTCCAGCTCGCTTCCGGCGCGATGGATCAGCTGGCGGGCAAGTTCACCGAGCTGGAGCTGGTGCTGCACAAGGATGAGCTGGTGCCGGGCATGGCCGCGGCGCATGGCACCGAGCTCGACGGGGGGCAGTTGCGCACCTGAGTCACAGGTGATCGGTTCTGGCGCCGCCGCCAGGCCGAGCGAGGCCTGCTGGCCCGCCGCCGCGTCAAGGGCT